ATATATAAAATGAAAATTTTTCTAGTTATAACATTTGTCAAATTGTAACTGAAGTGAAAAATCCACTGAACATTAATAAAAACTATATATGAATATAAGAGAAATAAATATCAAAGTTTTTTGTTTCTTATTTCTCTACTGAGATTCAGGTAACCTGACAACCTGACAGGTAGTCATGTAGTGTTATGATTGTGCAATGAACGCGTACTTATTGCTAATTAGTTGTTCTGCTTAGAACTTATAAAGTTTCGGTGAAGTTTTTCGAAATTGAGATACTTTTAATGCTAAAGGGAATTAATGAAAAATGCTTTAAGTTATCAAATCCATATCTTGCTGTTTGAAAATAAAATTGATGAAGATAAATTTGGTCAATGTTGCCGATGTTGACCGACGGTTCATTGCAACCGAAATGTTTGAAAAGTAATTTTAAAGTATTTTGATAGTTTTAAGTTTTCTAAAACCCGCAGTTTCTTTTGAGATTTACTTGAGGCAGCAAAGCATTAAAACTCTTTCATTGAATAGTAAGCGAATTAAAAAAGTAGTTATGTAGTTTTAATCTTTGCTAAACTCACTAATAGATGCTTTAAGCGAACGTCCGTCTTATGTAATGAATTGATTGACACTCAGCAGCGTGTATAGCAAAATCAGTCTCTGTATGTTGGTTAGTGCCTCCATAACTGCATAATACGTTAATAGGATGATTCAAACTTGAAAATTTTGCTTAGGATGGTAAGTTTAATATTCAGCTAACTGGTTTCATGATCCTGCCGACAATTCGAAGAAAGTGACAATTTTCGTTTAACGTAAGGCGTCAAGTTGAATTTTAATTTAAATTCTTTTCTTACCAGCATCTACATATTCTGTTCTAAAAGTGACTAAATGGAATCAAGAATTCGCTTATTACTAATTACTAAAGAAGTGAACTGATTAGGATTTTTGCTTTATATAATCATCGGTAAAGTTCTGAAAAATTGTGAAAAATTGTGAAAAATATTGGTTGTGATAGGTATGATACGTTTAAGAAGCAGAATGTATTGGATGAATAGATTTTTGTTTAACCCTAATCGTACTAAGCGTGGCTCTCAATCGATTATCACTATTCTGCCGATAATTGAAATGTTATTGTTTTCATTTCTAGTTTAATCCAAATAAAATGTAAACAAACAAAAAAAAAATATTACAAAGCAATATTAAAATAAGCAAAGAATTTAAAATCAAAGATCAAAATTTAACTCAAGGATATATTGTGGTCCGATTAGGGTTAGTCAACAAACAAGCTGATGACGAGTGGGTATTAGAAAACTTGAGCCATGTCGAGTAGTAGTGTCTGAATAGTATAAAATTAAGATTCCTTGAGAAGGAAATGATGTTTGTGGGAAATTTTTTTAACCATCTGAGAAGAGCAGGAGGCCCTCTTAATATTGCCAAAACAAAAAAAATATATATTTTTTTATATATATTTTTTCTTTGGAGTATGTTTTTGTTTTTTTGATTTACCACCAGTTATAGGATGAATTCTTCCAATATCGCCAACAATCAGTTCTATAATAAATATCAGATACTAATTGTTAAATAATGTGATCAAAAAAATTAATTTTAATTCGTTTGATTTTTCATTTATTCAACGCTTTTTGTTGTTGTCACATTTGTATTTTACGTTTTTTGCTCAGTTCTCTTGAATTTTATTATTTCTGCCCCAAATGAAATCAGAACTGCATATATATATATATATATATATATATATATATATAGGCCACAGTTTTTATGCTTCAAATTAATGCTGTTGTTGCTGTAATGCAATTTAAATTGCGTTGAAGTTGTTGTCCTCTTTTTTTTGCATTTCTCATTTTTCTTTTTATTCATTTTCTTTTTTTTTTTTTTTTTACTTTCGGTTTTATTTATTGTTTAATTTATTTGGTTAATTAACAAACGTTTTGGTTTTAATTAAAAATTTTTATACAATTTTTTTTTTCCAATTTTCATTTTCATAGGAAAAAATTCTTATTATATAATAAAATACAAAAGCAATTAAATAGATATAAATATAAATATACTATGTATCTATGTGTATATGTGTGTTCAGTAATTTAGTCACTACCGCATCGAATTTAAAACATGTTTTCATATGCATGTGTATATCAATAATTGATTTAATTGCTGAAAGATATAAATTTTCATAAAAATTAACTTGAATAAGTGGCGTTACAAAAGCCGTCATAGCCCGACCGTTGAAAACTGACCCCTCCCCCTTTCCCTCCCGCACCCACACCCCTTTCCCGGCCACCCACAACTCTTAAGAGTTGATTTAACAAATTTTTATTAAATCATTACCGAATAGACGTATTTCTACATCGCTTGATTATAATCACTGTAGCGTGCGATTTGTTTTTTTCTTTTTTCTGCTATGTAAGATATACGCGAATTTTTTTTTTTTTTGTTCCTCAATTTGAATGGAATTTTTAAGAGAAAGAGGTTGACATCGATATTTTAAAATGTCTTAACAATTGAAATCCGTACCCTATGTATAATGCATGAGAGAAAGACATAAAGATTCATTCGCTTTGCTTTTGTTCCTTTTTTTGTATGCATCCTTTATTTTAAAACGTTTCCGAGCCTCATCAGTTGAATAAAAACAAAAAAAGACGAAAAAGATTTTTCGTAAACATAAATAAGAAAATTACAGAACTGAGATAACGGCCGCTTGGAAGCACTTATATAAAAATTGTCAAATTTTCTGACTCTTTATGCGGGCATATATCAGATAGCTCTCACAAAATTATTCAGTAAAATTTTATTTGTTTTTCATCTTTTACGTATTTACGGGTACTGTACGTTTCTGTCGTTTTAAAAGCAATTCTCAGATAAAATCCGCAAATTGAAGACTATATATATATATACAGGAGATTTTCTATTTATTTGGTAGGAGATGGTTGCTGCAGTAGATGACAGACGAATAAATAAGTAAAATGGGGTGCGGATGGATGGATGGATGGATGGACGGATGTAAAAAATTGATCCATCCAAAGTGAAACTTTATAACTTTCATTTATTTATTTATTCTCTTTTTATTTTTACAAACATGTACACAAACTAATATACCTTGCATCACTAATGGTGCCGGCTGTAAAAGTGGAATTGAATCGCAAAAAAAAAAAAAAAAAAAACGGACCATCAGATAATTGGGAGAAAAAATCCTTTTGTTATGAATTCAAACTGGATTTTGTCATCAGTTAATTACTGGCAGTGCTTAAAGCAAAACATCCTTTTTTTTGTGTATTTGTGGTTTTGTTTTTTGTTTTTTTTTTCTTTTTTTTTTTGTGTTTTTGTAAAATATCGTCGTTACTCTTATATATCTTAGGTTTTAGATTTTAATGTAAATGCAAACAAACTTATGGTTGCGTATGTATAAGTGTAGGTGCATAGATATTGCTATACTAGCGTACCTAATTGACTTATGTCAATTGTATTCATTGCTATCATACATGAAGTATTCGCAGGCTGTTTAACTAAGGCGGGTACGAATTGCGAAACTAGGGCTCGCGTGGTTGTGTTTAGTGCAGTAGCGGGAGATGTCAAAGTCTTTCCTTGCTCTTGTTGTTGTTGTTGTTGCTGCTGCTGCTGCTGTTGCTTCTGCTGCTGTAGGTAGGCGGCTGTTGTCGTCTGCGAGTTGAACATTTGTTTCTTAATGGTTTTAGCGTTTTGTACATGCAATGACGATAACATATTCTTATCAACAAATGCTGCATGTGTGGTCGCTGATGTAGCCCCCGCTATTGTTGTTGTTGTTGTTGTTGTAAATTCAGGATCTAACGCCTGTGTATATGGTATATGAGTAGTTGTTGTGGTTAAGGATGATGATATTTCATTTATTGCATTAATGTTGCTGCCATTACTGTTGTTAGTGGTCTTACTTGTATCGCTAATGTTACTGTCGTTATTCCTGCTTGCGGTTACATTGTTGTTCTGATTAATCTGCGTAATAGGATAATTGTGTAACTGCATTTGCCGTTTATGTTCTTGTTCTTGTTGTTGTTGTTGTTGTTGTTTTTGAGGCTGTCTTAAAGGTGGGGTTGATAATGGTTGAATTTGTGGCTTTGGCTGAGATTGTGGCTGCTGCTGAGGTTGTCCACTTGTGTTTCTTACATTCAATTGCTGGATCTCGTTAGCTTTTACTTCGGCGGCATTGATATTAATATCTGTGCTTAATTGTAATTTAAATGGTTCCCGCGAATCTGGCTTATCGACAACTGCCTGTAATTCCAAGCTTGGCTTCACTAACAACTTCTGCAGCTTTTCTACTTCTGTACGATTCGCTTTCAAATTGTTGAAAGCAATTCGCGGCAGCTCACTTAACTTTTCAATTTCGTCCACCTTCAATTCTTCGTTCGTCTGCTGTGCATTATTCTCTTTCTCATGTTTTTGCTGTTGGCAACGTAAATATTCTTGACTTAATCTTTCCAATAAAGACAATTTTTTTTGCAACACTTCATTAGTTTCCATTAAATTTGCCTCCACTTTTCGTATATCGCTACATTGCAACGCCAAGTTGTTGTCCAATTTTTCGATTTCTAATTGAACCTCTTTTTGCGTTTGATACGCCCGCTTCAGTTGATATTTGCGTATTTTTGCGTGTAATTTAGCGGATAGCTCTTCTTCTTTCTGCAATTGCTTATTCAATGTGTAAATTTTTTCCAACCAAAATATTTGCATTTCGGTCTCCTCGTCCGCGCTTTCATTACCCGCATATCCCATATTTACAGCATCCACATGTTTTGTAAATGTTTCTGTTTCTGGTCCTTTGTCCTTTTGCATTGCCGTCGCTGTTGCCATTCCTATTGTGCCTATTGGTAAGGAGAAAAACTCTTTGGCTGTGTTGGCAAATTTTTTGTTGTTATCGTCTTTATGACGCTTTTGATCGTCCATTTTGTCCTTATGGCGTTTCTTCTTCTTTTCCTTTTTAGTTTCCTTTATACGTTCCGTACCACCACCAGCACCAACACCACCCCCACCGCCAAGGACTGTGCTGGTACCAGTAACTTTTAATGCTTCGGGGTGTGCCTTTGTGCTGTTTGCTGCATAACGTTGATACGGTTCATCTGCAAAAAAAGAAGAAGAAGAAAAAGAAGACCGAAGAGTAAAATGGAAATTAGTTATTTATTAAACTTTCGTTTTAACTTAGAATAAAAGGGGAAAAAAAATGTTGGCATAAATGGATCAGGAACAAAACAAAAAAAAAAAGGAAAACAAAATATAATTAAGGTAAATTAATGTCGATTTTAATCCATTAAATATTAGACCATAAGTTTCTATAAGTACTTCACAAATGCAATGCTCAAAAAAAGAACGAGAAAAAAGTTACGCCATAGCTCGTCACAAGCCATAAAAAACATGATTGACATTATTTTACGCGCGGCCGCTGTTGTGAATCACTCGAATCTCTACGGCATCATTAGTAGGGTTCCGAAAGATATACATGATCGAAGCTACAAAGTCCGATGACTTACATCACACAAGTTTAAATTCGTTAAGACCTGCCACGATATTTGAGGCCAACGTTTAACTTCTTCACTATGTTTCGGATAGTTTATTATATTAAATGGTATAACGTTCTTGTGTTTTCGTACGCGGGAAAATTTTATTCGTACAATTTTATTCATACAATGTAATAAAATTCAATAGGAGACTTCAGCCGACCATTCTCGATTCTACACCCGATCGAGAACCTAATTATTGCATAAAGTCTCTAAAGCGCATTGCTCTATAGTGCACTCATAAGATCTTATCGAGATTATGATGATCTCAATAAAAAGTTTTCATTTCCGAGCAGAAAGCTTCATCGTATGTGATGAAAACTTACACCAAGTCCAAGTTACTTATTTTCTCCGCTCAATAACAAATTCGTGTGCGTTCATGTTTCCTTTAAGAAGAAAATTATTCATCATTTGCACCGATTTATCAATCGTTAACGAGACTTGTCTCTTACCTTAACAATTGATGTCCTTAAAGGGTTTTTCGACTTAAGACATTGATATGTTAAACGTACCTGAGAATGTGTGCGATACTTAAAATGACTTGGGGTAGACTCTCTCGATCGAAGTGATTTTAGGCTTCTCAGTCTGTCTGTCTGTCCGTCTAATGCACATTTTGAGGTACATTGACGAAGTTTGATGGACTGAGAACTGAGTTTTAAGGCAAGGGCGAACTCTACAACAATTTGATTGGATCAAATCATTTTCATGATCGTTCCTCACACGACTGGTTGCTTTAAGTGCAAAATGTGCTTAGATGAAAAAATTTGCAATTTTCAAAATTTCTCACCAGGAATCGCTGAGTATTTGTTTACTTCATTTATTTATTTATTTCATTTTTTTTTAAATTGCATAAAAGCTATTTTTTATTATTATTATTATTATTATTATTTTTTTTTTTTGATGCAATTCACAAAGAAGAACACTGGCAACGAAGGCCGTCGACTCGATTCGCTCAGCCTACTGAATTGGTGTGAAAAATCTGGATCAGATGAGTAGATGTACTTAATATATATATATATATATATATATATATATATTTATGTATACGAAAACTAAGCTATTATATAAGTAAGCAAAAACGGTCCAATTACCCCCGCACTGCATGTGGCACAAAATGTATTTTATTTGTATGCCAGATGGATGGTAACAGCCAGATGAAATTAATTCGATTTAGAATAATTTTTTAATCTCTTTAAACGTATCTGCCTTCGTGGTTTTCTGTTCGACTTATAGATCATAATTTTTAATGTTATTTGAGATAATATCGTACAGTGGTGCGTTTTGGCTTAAAAAATGAACACTTATAGAAAAGAGCTGGTAATGACTATTTGCCCTTATAACCCAAAAATCTTAATATAGAAAAATCCCTATTTTTAATATATCTTGATAAAAATCGACAGCAAATAATATTTTGATCTCTATAACAAATCGGATTAGACAATTCAGATGGGCTTGATGTTGTAATTAACTGTACCGAAGTTGAAACACATTGATCAATATATTGACATGGCCTCCTTATCGGGACAGTCATGATAGGCATGCCTGTACAAGGATTTCTCGTTGTTTCTCAAGAAAATAGAAAAAAAAAATTTTTTTTTCAAGCGACTTTGTATGGGGTAGTGAACGTTCAGCCTTGTCCGGCTACAATGTTCTTGTTGGATTGTTATGTTTTATTGTGAAAACTTGTCCACAAAAAATAATTTTATATTAAAATTATTGTACCGAATTGCGTCTCAATTGGATTGGGTTATTTTTTTGGACCCCCTATAAGGGAGTTAGATGATTCAAGAGTCTAATTTCTAGTGCATTATGATAAAAGTAAGTAAAGAATGATAAGGTGGACGATAACAAAATTATTCCTCCTAATATCAATTGACAATGTCAAATTGTGGTTTCACAACCGTCTCATGCATGCGCTTCCATGGAAACAATACATAATTTTTGGTACTTTATCAAGAAAGTAAATGAAGAAGTAGCGTATGGTACTTAATGGTCCCTTTTATCTGACGATAACCTCTCTTTTAATTTGTTTTCTTGGATAAACTGGTAGCTGAACGCATAATTCCAACTGCTCTAAGCAATTGGAGTTTTTCGCACAAACATACTTTTTAATCCTTAAAAAAAAGGTGTTATTCATAAACTGCCTTTTTTGCTGCATTATTATCGATTTCTTATTGCGTTAAGGCATTCGATGTGCGTATTAGAAATTTTTTACTATGAGCTTATTTTTTGTGTGGCACGCTTAGCTTAGCTGTGGTTGTGTTCATTTTGTTGTGACTTTGTCAAAACTTCTTTATTATATTGTAAAACATGTGAAAACATTTCATTGGAGAACTGTCCAGCATTTAATACCCTACATCATCCTACAGTTAGTGATAATATGACCTCTCGTGGCCCAAGACATGCCAGTGTACCAAATTTCATCATAATAGCTCAAAAATTGCAGCCTGTAGTCCGACACAAAAAAATTTAGTTGGATATATGGACAGACAAGATTAGATCAATTTAGAAAGTGATTTTGAATCGGTCGGTATAAAAAAATGTGCTCATCATGATGTGATGATCATGCATACATCCACACAAACTTAATACAGCCTTGCGCCTCAAGAGGTGTAGGGTGTAACGAACATGGTATTTCATTATTATTAATTTTAAAACGAAATAATTTAATTTTCATTATGTTTATAAGCATGAAACTTGGAGTTTTCTTATGTCGATATGGCAACAAAACGACGATGATAGGTAATAAATAAATTCAAATAAAAGGAAGAGATTGTTGAATTTTTATTTTTTCATTTTTTATTCATAAAGATAATTTTTCAACATATTCTAATCAGCCTATGAATGCGTTGCGAGTACTAATCAAACACTTTGAGTATATATATATATATATATATATATATATTGAAAATATACCTCAATCTGGATGTAGAACCAAATGGAGCAAGCCCGTATCGCCCGTTTGGCTTAAGGTGATCTCATGAACCGTCTACAAAAAACTTAGGAAAGGAATATTATCCAGTTTTGCTTATAAATGTATCTATCATACGCGTTCCACAAAGTATGATATTAAGATCCAATTGAAACAAATGAACAATGTTTACCTAAAGCACCTACGACCTGATTAAAACTTATTTTCCAAATCTTATCTTTGCGATACGCAGCAACGACTATTTGCCTTCAACTAAAAAAAATCTTAGCTAGAGTTTCGCAAAAAACTTAGACTAGGCCCCCTTTTGTACATACTTTACCTGATTATACCGCTATTCGAAAAACTCACAGCAATTCTGTGGCGACTCCTCTAAATGTGCTTATCATGTTTTCACTTTAAAAAGTGAAACCTACACCTAAATATTTCAGAATTGTCATTTTCCTTTTCATTTTTTTTAATAGGATCAATTTGTTAGGGCATTGACGGTTAGAAAGAAGCGAGCAAAGGGAAACTGATAGGCAGGTAAGGTAAGCGCACACGTAGTATATGTGTTTCCAGTTGGTAAGCGTTATTTAGTATCTGAGCCACTACAATACGAAACCAATTACGATTCAAGCGAACTTTACCGGCCAAGTTAACTTAGATGAAGTTAATTTAAATTAATTATCTGCGATACCCATTAAACACGTAAACAATGAGGTTTTTATATAAAAATACAACGGTTACACTTATAAGCCCTTAATACACATTATTATCTGCGGTTTCACGAAGGCGATCTCAACCGATTCTCAAATACCTTTCGCACAATACAATTCGGCTATTATGTCTCGTTAAGAGATAAGGAAAATTATAATTTTTTTCGTTTAACGGTATGTTGTTCGCGGAAAGCGGCCTATGGGAGAGCATGCGAAAAGTCCAAACTTACCAAAACTAATTTTTTTTGTCAAAAATTATAGCACTCTTTCCATCGAGTTTGACTTGTATTTTTCTATTAGTGCACATTTTTTATAAACAAGCTTTTATGGGCCAGTACCTAAGTAGTAGATCTAGATGATCTAAATTTCAAACAATGCATTTTTATGCCAAATTATTGTTAGGGATTGATTTCCATCATAATATTATTACAAATTTTGTTTGTCTAAGATAGGAGTCGTACCACTAGATCGTGGATATTCTTTTTAAAAAAAAAAATACGTTTCAAAGTTCTTTTATCTGCAATTATATTCCTTAAGAGTAGGATTATTCACAATTTATTTTTGGCAATACTTTCGACTGCTCAACTCCAATATTCTCCTCCTGCTCACTCTGCTTTCCACAAACATTATATTTATATACATTTTTACAAGCATATTACTATACCTAAATTCACGGCTTCATTTTTAATCTGTTAACCTGCTTTTGCCCTAATCGTTTTAATCGTTTCCCACTACTCTCCACTTAATCTTGTTCGTCACGAACAAGGTCGTTTCGATAGGCGATCAATCGATCCAAGTGTACCACTATGAATCTAGTTCTGCCTCCGAGATGTTTTCGTATACGATAGATTTTGTACGGACCTTCTCAGTTACATCGCAGTTTTGTTGAAATTTGTTTCTTGCGTAAAGGATTGTACAATAACACTAAATCCCCTTCCTTGAATCCATGGACGTTAGCCCTTAGATCGTGTCTTGCTTTCATCCTTACGATTTGCGTTCTATTTCGAACCTGTCGGTGCATGTTATCCAATATCACCCTCAATCTAGCAACATATTCGGTCTCGGTCCTTTGGACATTAGCAGTTGTCCCGAATTTCAAGTCTGCGGGTAGCTTTAGGTTAGACCTGAACAAAATCTTCGCCGGGGGTAGGGCAGTAGTGTTGTGCACTGCTGACATATATACCAATAACAAAATTGGTATGTATTCATCCCAGTCCTGCTGATTGTCGTCGATCACTTTTCATAGATGCTCTTGGAGCGTTCGATTAAACGTTTCGATCATTCCGTCAGACTGAGGATGAATGGGAGTCGTTCTAGTTTTATTAATGCCAAACATTTGGCAAACCTCTTGAAAGATCGAAGATTCAAAGTTTCTACCTTGGTCTGAATGCAGCTCGATGGGGGCTTCAAACAACAAAACTCAATTATTGACGAACACTTTAGCTATTGTCTTTGCTTCTTGGTTAGCTATGGGGTATACTTCTGACCATTTACTGAAGTAATCAATGACTACCAGTACATAGTTATTTCCTTTATTGCTGGCTGGAAATGGTCCAGGAATATCCATTGCGGTGCATTCACTTTATACTGCTGCAAGCACCCTCGCTGTTTACATTTTGGACCTTTCGATTTGCTGCACTGATCGCAGTTGCGAATTCATGCAGCTACGGAATCCTTGGTGAGTCCCCTATAAAAATTTTCCTTGATCTTTTGCACGGATTTTGTGATGCCAAGATGCCCTCCGCTTGGTCTGTTGTGATATTCTCTTATAATTTCCAGAGTTCTCGCTTATGGGACCATCAGTAATTTCTTAGTCCATGAAGTATCGTCACTATGCCACAGGCGCCACAAGCATCCATCTTCAACGATGAGGATTTGCCAGTAGTCCCAATACGCCTTCGTAATCGGACTTTCTCTTCCTTTTCGATGACCTCTAATATCTACGTCGGCAATTTGACTACTACGCACGTCCTCTTTCGAAGAGTTTCCATTGGGCTCCACAATAGTCCGGCAGATGGCGACACCTCCTTTATGCTCGTTCCTTACACAGTGTTTCCAGTGCGGGTCGCATGGACGTCTGGATATAGCATCCGCATTGCTATGCGATTTGCCGTTCCGATGGGAAATCGAGAATTGGTAAGTTTGCAGTTTTTCAATCCACCTGGCCATTTGTCTTTCTGGTTCTTTGAAGTTGAGTAACCATCGCAGAACAGCATGATATCCCCTTAGGTGGAATTGCTGCCCATACAGATATTTGTGGAAGTGCTTAACAGATTGCGTTATTGCCAGTAGTTCTCGTCGAGTAACACAATAATTTCTCTCGGATTTGGATAGACGCTTACTGTAATATGCTATAAACTTTTCGTTACCATCAATTTGCTGGGAGAGTACACTGCCTAAGCCTTCCGCGTTTGAATCGGTATCTAGAATAAATTTTTCTGCTGGTACTGGATAAGCTAAAATGGGTGCCGCGCCTAACAGCTCTTTCAACTGCTTGAACGTGTGCTCTGATCACGATTCTATTTATGATGCACTGCGTTTCAATCTATCATTAGTTGATGGATTAAGTAAAAATGAAGTCTGTTTAAATTCTCAATCTGAGCAGGAAAAGTCCCTGCTTTCCTGTAGAATGAGAATCTGTTAAAAATACAAAGCATGAGTAGCATTCATTCATTGATTTGTTCCTTTTGCTGGCCATTGTAAGAACAATAAAAGAAAACAATGATACCGAATATTTTAAGGTACGACATAAATTTTTATTATTTTTGCCTTTTTATTAACTTTCATCTGACGTCGCTTTAAAGACAACAAGAATAAAATGAATGGTGTTCTTGACATACTCACCTATAAAGATCTCCTCCCCATCGGCTATTTCGGGTTCGCATTCAGCTTCGTTTAAGCCATTTAAATATGTTTCAAGCAAATAGTTTTTACCCAATTCACGTTCACGTTTGCGGTGTTTCTCCTCTTCAATCTTAGCAATTTGACGTTCCTTCTCACTGATGACACACATAAGCCAGTATGCAATTGCGAACGATGTAAGTAAATGTAAATGTAAATTTTCAAAAAAAAAAAACAAAAAAAAATTAAAATAAATAAATAAACAAATAAACGAATGAAAAGAACGGGCACACAGACAATGATCAGCAGCCATCAGCAAATAGCGCACCATCATGGTCATAGATGTTAAGCATACACAGGATATCTCACCCCGAACGGCTCTCCCCGCAAGGAAAGCCCGGAAAATCATAAAAGTACAACAAGATATGGATTGAGAGAGAGAGAGATAGAGATAGAGATAGAGATAAAGAGAGAGAGAGTGAGAGAGAGAAAGAGACAGAAATGGAAGAGAAAATCGTTAAGAGAAGGTGAATAAAAATATTAAAAACAACAATGCCAATAATAACAATAAACAAGCAAACCGCAAAAGTTAAAGTAAAACTCAATTAATTACTGGGTCTGGAAAAAGTGGAAAAAATGAAAGCAACATCACCGATACCCACGGAGAGTTTGTGGCTGAGTTAACGTTCGTATTGTCGTTGCATTGTTATTGTTATGGTTTTTGTTGTTGTTTTAATTATGCATCACGTAGAGTAAACAAAAATTTTGTTGCCGTCAGTTATGCAATAAAAGTAACGACAAGAGCAGCCGCACTCCAAAGTACTGTCGCTATTATTACTACTACTACTACTATCACTACTACTACTACTACTACTACTGCTAGTGCTATTACTGCTACTATCACTACCACTACCGAGAGATGGCCAGACAGAGAGACGAACGAATGACTATAATATAGCACTGCACTGAAATTGAGCCCAACTTACCGCAATAAGGATAATTGCCTCTGTATAGTTTCGTCCTGTGCCAAAATGATTTTCATCAGACGCTCGTTGGCCGAACATCGCGACAAATTTGGATGTAATGTATTACCGTGTGCCAGCCACTGTGATGATTTATGCTTGCGACGACGAAATTTTGCACTACGTGCACTACCCACTGGACTACCCATGCCACTGTCCTTATCCGTTGAGATTAAAGACGAAAATTGTGGCGTGGTGTTAATATGCGCCGGTGCCGGTCCCAAGCGACGCAACAGTAATTCACACTGTTTTTGTTCATCAACAGCATTGTTTTTCAGTTTGTTTGTTTTTGAATTAAACATGAAACGGATAGAAAACAATCATAAATTTGTTATATTATTTTCGAGTAGAATCTAAAATTTTTGCACCAAAACACTGCATATATGCGTTTATGTGTGTGGGTATATATATATATATATATATATATACATATATATATATATATGTATGTGTGTGTGTGTATGTTTATGTATGATTCTAACTAAATGTTTGCATGTTATCAGTTTAATGAATTGTTTGTCTTAGTTTTTGTTAAATATATTCCAAGTTTCATTTTATCTTTTAGTTGGTTTGTTCAGTTTTCTCAACACATCCATCCATACACATATGCGAACACGCGCATACATTTGTAAAACATTTTATAAACTTTTGAAATAAAATTACAAAGTTTTGCATATTAAATTGTTTCTTCGGTTCGGCCTACTCTGCCTGCGCCATCACTTGTTTTTTTCCTTTTTTTTTTTTGACTTTGTCAGTTATACAGTTTGCTTTCTTTATCTTTATCTTCTTCTTCTTCTCCTGTTTTTCGCATTCATTCGTTTAACGTTTAAGGCCTCGATAATAAGTAAAACAATGTTCATGAAATATAATATAAATTATGTATACTTAAAACAATTACTTAGTTTTTCATTGTTCGCATCGTTGCTTTAGTTGTTCGTTGTTGTCAAATTTCTTGTTGCATGTTTTGACAACTCATCAAGTGCACGCATACCAATAAGCGCAACAAATATAAGCATAAGTAAAAGAATAAGTGTAAGGAAAAATGATTTGAACAATTTGCGTGACCTGTCTCCCAACCACTTAAGTGCTTAAAATTAATATGAATCAAAAACCAAACAACTCATACAACAATTATTGATGCAACATCAACATGTACAGGATATGTTCGTTTGCCTACATATCATAAACAAGTTAAGACTTCAAATAATCTAAACCCCCTTCAATTAAACTTATACTGGGACCCATTGCATAAACTATATCTATATTATTAAAGTGGAATTGTTTTAAACGGTCTTATATAAGTAGCTGTACCCTTCATCGTTTGTGAAAAAGTTACACTAAGTTTATCCGAATGTATACAGAGCTTAGTGCAAGAAACACTTACCCCCTATGGGGTCAACTGATTGGAAAATCTTCAAAATGAAGGCTTTCTTGAAACATATGTCTTTACAAGATTATTACGAAACTTGTGTTTGGCGAAGTTTTGTAGCGTTTTATTTAAAAAAAAAAAAAAAAAAAAAAAAAAATTAATTATTAACGACAATCCATATAATTACAATATTAAACGTCTTATAAACTCTAATAAGGAAAAAAAGAGACTTCATAGCACGTCATCGTAGATATATAATCTTAGCTTTAAACTCTTCCGGAATTTTAATGTAATCTTAAGAATCCATCTTTTACTGTATCAATCGATTCAAAATCGGTTTCCGAATTAGTCTAAAAACGTTTGTCCCTCTGTCCCATCTAATATCTGTTCTTAGCATAGTTTTATCAGATTCGGCATCACTGATGTATTTCGTCTCGAAAAAGAAACCTAATGCGAATGAGGAACGATGACTTCATGTATAAGATTCAATTTTGAAAAGCTCAGAACATTTCTCAATTTCATATATGCAGGCTTTGGTTAGGATGGGACCATTTATGAATCCTTTCCGCGCTAAAAGTAAACTTTTTGTCTGCTGCGTAGGTTTTTCCGTGGACACTATCGATGCACACTTATGATGGCGATGAGATTAAATGGCAAAAACATGTAATTTTTAATACGTTACGATGAAGACGCGGACTAAGCAGATTAGTGTACCTTATACATTAGTAGTATTAGATCTTATCTGGCTATAAGTTTCTAAATTGTTCTACGTATAATATCAAGTGTGGTAGTAGTGTAGGAATGTTGTGCGTGCTTTGTAAGAAACGAAAAGAATACTTTTTACGTTAAATGGTAAGCGAATGAGTTTAATCATGATATCAGAGTCTATGGAAAATTGCACCTTTATTACACTGAAATAGGCACATTGGTCAATAATTTTGGAATATCTTACATAACTCTTCGCATTCTAACAATAAGAATCATATTACTTTCAGCAATCGCTAACTATCGAAGGTTGAGCCAAAAAGCATTTCGGTCATTTGTTTACAAGTGATGAATGGATTCGATGATGACGCTACGTTTGTTATTTTCAAAACAATGGAAAACTTTGAATTTCACGTGTGTTGATTAAACAGTGATTTTTTTATAAAAAAAAAAAAAAAAAAAAAAAAAAAAATGCTGCTCAAAATCAATTGCAGTATTTTATTCGTCGAAAACAACGGCGACGGTTTACATATTATAAACGAAATCGTACGCTTTAAGGGAGTGACTGCACTAGAAAACATGAAAATAAATCCCGAAAATTATTCTCGGATTATCGAACTTCTACGAGAACTTGTAAGATATAGCTGACAGGCTGCAGTTATCTAAACGTAGTTAATGCGTCTTTTAATTGAGCGCTATCATCTAAATCTTAAACGGTTACCATGTCACCGAAACGTTCTCTGAGCGTGCCACGTCGTCTGGCAATGAAAGTGCGAATGACTATTATATTATACATAAGAATGTGTTGAGCGAAGGCATGATTCCTATATGGGCGACTCTCACTGTCAAATATGTGAAAAGAGGTCAGCAACCGTTTGTCAATGTATCGCTGTATGACTAGCATTGAGATGGTGCGAGCGCCGTCTGCAATAGCGACATGTGTCAGGTCTAATATATAAGCGACCATCAATTTCGTGTATTTTAAAAGCGAGTATCGGAACGTTTAGTTACACAATTCAATCGATTGAGAATTTCCGTCCAGCCAAGCAGAGTTTACGATAAGTGTGTCTGTGATGGCATCACATACCGATAAAGAACTAAAATATAAAGAACGTTTGATCTGTGAAATGGAACATTAGAACACTATTGTGTAAAAATAAACCTCGTACTTGCTTTAAAAGCTTCATTTTGTTGTAGCGAAAATTTCGATTGATATCGAATTGAACGGAATAAAAAGAGAACATTTTAGTGGAAGCGAGTGCGGCTATAAAATCGCTTTAATTTAACAATGCACAAGTGAAAGAATTAACTCTACAATGCGTACGTAATGTACAAAGAACATTGGAGTTGATTATTTTAAGTGCTTTATTATTCACGGAAGCCGTTTTTGTCGCAAATGATGATGCGCCTGGCGAAAAATGATCGTAAGGTATTAAAATTAGTCACGAAAACGTTCATTTAACGATATTCCCCGCTTTGTCTGTAATACGGAATATGTCTTAATGGAAAGAGGACAATTACACATCAAGTTTTGTTAATTGTCCATTTCCGCGCGTTGAATATATTGAAAATCAGTCATCAGAAATTCATTGAAACCTTTAATTAGTTACGTCTCTTTAAGTTTCTTTTTTTTTATTATTGTTGTTGTATGGTACCTGAAAAGTGCTTGCGAATGTAAAACACTTTGCTTTCACTTGTTTAACGCATGAACGAAGCGGTTTTTGTATTCACGTAAGAAAAATAAAAAAAGGAAAGGAAAGGAAAGGAGTGTAAGTCACTTTTTCTATTTAAATTGACTCACTTGTGATAAAAAAATTTTTCTCTTTATATAGCCCACGGTGCGCAACACACGTACAAACGTTCGTTCCTCGGGTACTTGGTACAAACTTTGCGAAGGAAACAAAAAAACAAAAGAAGCAACAACAAAACAAAAAGAAAATCCACGACTAGAGAGTAATAATAGGGAGGGAAACAAAAACTTTCATAAACACACGTCAACCATTAAGATACATTTATATGTTGTATGCATACGTTTGTGTGAATGTTGTTTTATTTATTTATATATTTTTATTTATTTATTTTTATTTTTTTTTTTTTTTTTTTTTTTTTGTGTTATTGCTATTACTGTTGTTAATGTTTTACTAACACACTTACCTCTTTTTTATGCGGTGCATCACGTGGTGGCAGAACATCAAAAACTTTTGTACTTCCGTCAAGATATTCTTCGCAGTGGCGATGCTGTTTAACGATAACATACTCGGTGGCAAGTTGAATAGCAGTTATGCCTCGCGGCAAAATGTAACCCATAGCAAAGTCCGTATTTGCGGTGTTGGTGTTGATGTTGACGTTGATATTAGTGTTAGTGTTAGCGATGGTGGCAGTGGCAGTCTTAGTTGCTGAGATTTCAGCAGTAGCAGCGTCAGTACTTGAGGTTACTTTACAATCTTCTTTGGTATTTATTGACATTGATTGATTGATGACATTATTGGGATTATCGTTCTCATCATTATTATCATCATTGAATGAAAACTTATTTGGTTTATTGCCGCAATAATTGTTATTAGTTGCGGTATTGGCGTTACTGACGATAACATCCTTTGCGATACATTTTACTGTTTGCATCTGTTTTGAATATTGCGGTTTATTATTTGTTGTAATATAGCTGACACGTTGGTAGTGGCTTGCCTTAAATGCCTCCATAATTCGTAATTGCGCTTGTTCTTCTGCATGCACTTGTTCGCTACTATCATTACAAACATTGACATCTTCATCATCGTTTTCATCGGTGTCTCTAAACATCTGCTGTTGACCACTTTGATAATTGAGTAGAGCGCAGATAAGATCCGCACACGTTGTCTTGCCATCAACACCCGATATCCAATGCTTCTCACCGTCAATCCAAATTGAGACATTATCCGATAATGTTTCCATTGATGCCAATGAATCACCATCATTATCGCCGGCTTCATCATCATCGTCATTATCATTATCATTATCATTATCATTATCATTATCATCATCATCATCAATATCGTTATCCATAGTTGCTTGTCTTAGATGTTCGGCCACTTGAACTACAATAACGTTGCGACCATCGCCACCAATAACATCATTGTCGCCGTTGTCACCGATACTGCAGTTGTCAATGTTATTGATGTTGTTGTTATTGTTATTATTGTTTCTGCTATTATTGTTATTGTTTTTTTCGTACTCCCCACCAGTCCAACGATTGCATTGAACATCTCTGCTGGTGTTTTGTGTAACATCATCTCTCAGAATATCATTTGATTTCTCGTTGTTCTTGTGTTTATTGTTTTTGTTGTTACTGCTGCTGCTGCTGCTGCTGTTATTATTGTTGTTGTTGTTGTTATTGTTGATGTTAGCTCTTTTGTTATTGTTATCATTACTATTTACGTTGCCTAGGAAAGGTGGTGGTCGTTGCCATTTTTGCTCCTCAACTTGGGCGGTATCTATATCTCGATACCAGATGGTTTGCTTTTTTCCATGCGACTGCAAGCTAATGCCGTTGCTACTATTTGACGGAGCCGTGCTGTTGCCATTCATATTGTTTGGGGTGTCGGTCATGTTATTACTGTTGCCAGTCATTATTGTCTTATTTTTTCTTCTTTCTTCTTGTCTTCTTGTCTACGATATGAGTGTATGTGCATATATGTATATATTGTATCTTTTGTCATCTACTTATTTTCTTTCCCTGCTCAATTCAATGGTCAATGATAATATTGACGTTTTCGATTACTCCAATCTATCCAATTCCGCTTGCATCCGGACTCGTATTTGTTTTGTTATTACTGTTGCTGTTGTTATTGTTAAAGTGCACATGTGGCTTTGTCCTCTGCTCACATTTGACAACAATGATGATGATTTCGTTTTTACCTAATTTTTTCCACTTATCCGAAACAAATTGTTGTTGTTTTTTTCTGCTTCACAAAAATATTGATGATGCCATTGATGACGCTGATCCTAACTAACATTCACGATGATGATAGCGATGCTAATGCCTGTGTATTAGTTATGTTGTTGCTGCTCTTATTTTATTTTCTGCCTTCATGTGTACATGTTCATCTGAAATGTATAACACGATGTTACTAAATTATTATATGTTTGTCATTGACAGCTACGTAGCACATGCTTAGCAACATGAAATTTTTATTTATTTATTCATTTATTTTATTTGTGCAATAATAAAGTCTTTTTCTAACTACAATATTTGCCTAAATTGTTGATAATAGAAAAACTTGAATAGAAAATTTCCTTACAATCGAACACCACTTGAACAAATTTTATTATATGTATATAGAATTAAAATATATATACAATTAAATGAAATTGTCGCTTAATCAACAACACACTGCACATTTGCTGCACAGACATCTCAATAAAATAATGACACTTTAGATGCAAAATATCAGTTAGTTTCTGTGTCAAGTTCTATCATTTTCAGAGTTCGACTGACGACAGATGCCGAATGAATATAAATTATGTCTGATATGTTTTCCTGGGAAATTGCACCGGAATTGCAAAATTAATGTACCCCATTACCCAGTGATGCGTCAAAAAGACTATAATTGGTGGTGGCTATAAAAACATTTGACTTAAGTCCCAATGGACTCAGTCTCTCTCTGCCCTTTTTTTTTTTTTTTAGCATTTATTTGTTTTTTTAGCATTTTATTTCAAAACCTAAATACTTTTGTACACAATATATCCGAATTGCGATATGCGTGATAGTCTCTATGTGATCAGCATATGTGTGCTTAGCAAAATGATGCACCTGTCGTGTATAAAGAGAAGAAAAAAAAAAAAAAGCAGAAGAAGAAGAAAAACGTTGAAAAACTTCAACTAACATTATCCGCTAAACAATAGCACAAGAAGTGTCGTTTCTTATCAATATCTTAAAATCGTATGCGTCGGCAACAAATAGGTTTGGTTCGCTAGAGCGAACGAACGCCGACGTTATCAGACAAGTAGTCAAAAATGGGACGAAACGAAATGAAATTTCGATAGAGAAGAGAGGCAGGCATAAGCCCCTCTTATCAACTTGAACGCATTGAACGCATACATTCCCTACGATATGCAAACGTATTTAAATGCTTCAATAATTTTTAAATAAAATTTTGCACGAAAAAATAGAGAAAATGTTTCACGCTCTTGTACAACAACTGAAACAACAATTAAAATAAAATGCAAAGACTAAATTGAACCGGATTGCAGTGGTTAAATGACTTTACTAAGTAGGGGGTATGCGCGACACTTGGAAAGATTTTTTTAAGTCAATTGTAATAAAGCAAAAGGAAAAACTGAAAATAAAACACAACAACAACAACAACAAAATAATAATAATAATATAACAAAAAGTAGAAAAAAAACTTTACCGTAAATAATATGAGTTCAAGTGAAAGTTTATATCCCATAACATTGGCGATATCAACTCAAAAGGCATTGAATCATACAACTGAACATTCGAACGTTTGAAGCCAGCGTACGGCCTGGTTGGTCAACAGAGCCGTTAGTTAACTAGTTAACTGTTCAGCCAAGCGAACAAATGCATGAATAGACAGTAAACTCTGATACAAAACTGTAAGCGGTGCCTTGGCAACATATATATGTATACATATATATATATATATATATATATTTACACTACCACTATATGTATGTAATCGATCTGAATGTGTAATCAAAGATAGCACAAAGAATAAATGCATAAAAGCGTAACAAGCATTCATTCAGCATATAACCGCATATTTAGATGGACGTTTTTTCATTTCGTTCTTACTTCTTAAGAGCCCCTCCTGTTCGTTAGTTAATATTTTTAAACGGTTGTTATACGATAAAAGTGGTTACACAACACTGTCGTGTTGACTGAATTCGTAACATGAAACAATTTGTTTGTTCTTCAAACATTTAACACTTTTTAGCATACGGAGAAGAATGCAGGGTAGACAACTCACTCTTCTTTTCTATCCCCTCCGCCTCCTCAGAGAAATAAACTGCGATGAAGAAAGAAAAATCATCTCATCATATGTTTCGGAACGCACCACTTACTTATTATACCATACACTAATTGTGATTGTTACAGGTTTACTTAGCTTTGTGTGGATGTTCTCAACGTTTAGGTTGATTTAAAACGATATTCATCTTTTATTATCACAATCGATTTAGAATCATTTTGTTAAACAGTTTAAGCTTAGATGCGCTGTTTTTATGTCTATCCGTCCCTTTATCGATCTATCTGCTTGACAGCTCACTATGTATTTCTAGATCGGAAATTCTTAAGATATTGTGACGAATTTTAATGCATTAATATATTCCGAAAACGAATTGAATCGAATCGTTTTCACGATCACTTCGCATACAACGTCTTTATTTAAAAAAAGATTTCGTAATTTTCAAAATTTCTCATCAAAAATCACTGAGTCATAGTATCCCGGCAAATTGAATTGATATAAACAATTTGGATCGGTTCCACTCATTTTTTCAAGTCTCTCCCACATAACCATGCCTCTGAAATGCAAGTTTTTATACAGAAAAATTGTTCATTTTCTCTAATATATTTCAATATATATATAAATCGGTTCATGACAATAATTTCATATACAAATTTGGACTTCGTAGGTTTAATTGTTAAATCTTACAGTTTATAATTTGAATAGATAAAGAGCGATAATATTTGGACCACTTGAGTTCACTTTTTGAGCCCGCTCTCATATAAAAGCTTCTAGGGAAGCAGATTATAGTTTTTAAAATTTCATTGGGGATTTGAAGAACTATTTCAGGCTATAAGCGAACCACATGACCGACCTTGCCTAACTATAATATTTCTGTTTATTTTTTAATAAATGAGAGCTTGTCATGATAATGCTCTACAGAAAGGTAAACATAATATTTATATTTCTAACACACAATCACACAAGTAAGTAGGGCTCATAAGATATTGATATAACATAATATACTCATAGTATACATGCACACTTAACATAAGGCTCCTTACCGGAAGGGCAGCACATTTAACATCAGATCCATGAAAGGGATAAATGAGTTGTAAAGACTTTATATGTCATTGTTTTATTTTGTGAAAATGTCAGAAGACTTTCAGTTCGATCTGAACCAAAAGCAGAAATTCATTATCGAATTTTATAATATCTAGACATGATTTACCTTTCGTGATCATCGTTTAAAACAAATAGACAGATGTGACATGACATACTTGCATTCAATGATTAGCGCTGATACTTTAAAATATACAATTTACAGGATGGTGGTGGATGCTTCTCTATCCTGTAGCTATGTGCCGATTTCTTACACCTGCTGGTGATGGGTGCGTTTATAATAGGAAAAAAAAGTTTTATGAAATTGTTTCAATTTTTTAGTTATTTTGAACACATTCACGAACCCGTAAAGCGAACCCGTTGTTAAAACTCGATCAAGGTCCTTCGTGTAAGCTTGCATTTACCAGATTTTACTTTTAGATAGAAAGTTTTGTGCATTTTTACAATGCAAGAACTCAACAATTATGGTGAATCGAGCATTGTTTGTTAATCGTGTAAAGATAATTCTAGAAGAATTGATAAGCTGGTGGTTGTTGCTGTAAATTGGTTTTTTTTTTATTTATTACCGTAACTAAAAATGTGAATTTTATAAAGCTTTAATTTGAAGTTGAAGTACTCTACGTTATTCAACATCGATCGATGGTGAACACAGTGATGGTCAGAAAGTAGCAGGGAAAAAGAAAGAAATTGGAAGCGGACACAGCCTAATGGTCCGGAACGACAATTCACTATAGCCACGAGCAAGTACGCTTTAATTCCACTGAAATTTGATTTGAATTTGGCTATTGACGCCAGATTCTTTCGTACGCGCATCTTTTTCTATTTTTTACAACATTTACAGCATTTACAACTATAAAATATTCGATAGCGGTAGAGTTTAAGTGAGGTCGTTCAGGTTGCCAAGACGAATTTAGTCGTGATCCACCAAATGAAGTCACCACACCAAATGTGGTAGAGAAACTACAAAAAGTGTTACTGGATAACTGTCGACTATCGAGCTTCATTTTGCAGTTGATAGCTGGCTGTCTTGAGCAATTCGATGGTTCTCATTATGCACAGTGTATCGAAGCGCTTGAAGTGTATCGCTCAGAAAAGTGTGTCGAGCTATAGCAAAACTACTTCGTAAAATAAAGATGTGGTTCTAGCAATTTTGTATAGTTTCTTTATCAGTTCAGATATCTTTTGACCTATCCTCGTACTTTCAACTGTTTTGCGATTTTCGCTATGGAACATTTTTCGTTTCCAATTTGATCAAAATTTCATGTGTACTATGCATGTTAATAGCATGTATATATAAAAATTATAAACTATTGCATTGCTTGTAGGCGTGTCAGATTTTCAATTAGAAGAATTTTTAGACTAAATTTTTAAACAAGTTCGGACTATACTATTATTTCTATACTAGTATTACCTACAAATTGCTTACCTACGGTTCTTTGTTTTCTTTCTGTGGGCGTGTTTGTAGGCATATAATGCCATAAAATAAAACTAAACACGTTGCCAATTTTAGTAATGTATATGAAGAGTTTATAGATTATCGAGAACCTATTTCTACATTTCATAAACCCGAACACATTGCCCAAAAAATTAAATTATGGCAGCAGAATAATAAAGTAAAACAGCATAAATTTTTAACGACATGCAATTTGCATGAGAGATCTTAAATTTGATATTTGAAAGCTTTCGAGAATTTTTTCGAGCCTTTGGAAAGCGAACTTTCTTTTCTCATTATATGATATTTCCGTCCATAAACAAAAGATGAGAAGATGACATTTACCCATAAAGAAGATCTCATCAATGACATTATCATCATCGTTGAAGTATATATATATATACATATGTGAGTTGCAATTATATGACCAAGGCGAATTCACGAAAACGTTTGGATCTTGGTTTTCTCAACATTTGTTGGATATAAAGGTGGAGTTAATTGAGGGTTAATGGAAGAGTAGTACTGACGATGGTATTGTAGATTTCCTTTTGTAATTTTCTCTTTAACTTTTCATACAATGTATC